AAGGGAGCGTGTATCTGATGTAAAGCATTCGAGTTTTTCTGCAGGTAAGTACCCAATCAGGACTGTTGCTCGTGCTGACAGTTGTCGCCTTTTTTCTTTGGCAATGTTGCCGATTGAGAGGTATATAGGCCACGCAGATTTGTCACCTCGGAACTGTGACAAACATGTCTTGTCTGAAGCAAGAATGATAGGTGCTATGGTCGCTCCTTTCGGTAACTGTTTCTGGACGTTGTAGGTCAGTCTTTGCTTAACTTTTTGGATCGCATACTCACTTGCTTTTCCCCCCACCAATCTGCAGTCCACATGTCACCAATCACTCGGTTGAGTCCCGCAGAGTCTGTGTATGCTTGTGCAGGTGCGTACACCATGTGATCCTTGAATTGAGGATTTCCGATCAGGTCTTTGATGCACTCCACAGGATCACGCATCCAAAGCTCGACATCTTCATGCAATGGTTCACCCTTCTCGTCTGTTTGGTTTCCCCGGACACTGATCTTCTTGCAGCTCCAGGCAGCTCCATGCGGAAGTTCATCGACCTTCTGGAGGAACGATCGGTTGTTGTGGAAGGATGGTTGCATTCGGTTTCGTGTCTGTCACACCAGTAAGTCCAATTCTTTCAGCGGTCAATGTGTAACTTACTATCGGCAACTTTAGAAAATCATTGGTTCGGGTCTGGCCCAGACTTTTAACGAGCCACTCTGCGAGTCCCCATTCTTCCCTGGCGACTGAAATCAATCATTTTGCAGAGGAGATGAAGACAACAGGGTACGTACTCATCGCAAAAAGGTGCCCACTCGTCCTCACCCATGCTTTTTTTATACTTCCGATAGCTCTCAAAACCAGTTTCTCCCTCCCGCAGAGTCCGTCCACCATCAGGGCATTCCTTGAAATATCGCCCACTATTTGTTCTCACAGCATCTTCATCAGAAACCTCCTCGATGGTCACCCTCCGACTTTTCAGCGCTGGTGGGTTGCCTTGATCAGCATCGGAGGACTTGGAACGTGAGCGACGAAGCGGCAGGCCAAATGAGCTGCCAACATCATCGTAAGCAAAGTCCACTTGTGGGCCATCTTCATCATAGGTGGCCTCAGTTTCTTCGATCGTTAACTCCCATGCCCTTCTACATTCAGGGCGGCCAGTTATGTGTCTCTTGACACCACCCCTTGTAGGGAACTCCTTACCACAAAATACGCAGCACTGGGGCATGGTTGGTGAATGTTTCGAGTGAGTGTTTCGAGTGAGTGTTTCGATTCTGATTTGTAATGTACCTACTTAAAATAATTTTCATGCGCCCTGGCCTGGACTCAATCTAGGCACACTGAGAACGCAGTCAGTTATGGAGACTAGCTATCCATGTTGGTTTTGTTGATTGGGAGGACGATCGATGGGGTGCAGTGGACGGCTCTCCCAAGAACCCACCTGAACGCAATCCCAATGGTTTTGTTGATTGGAAGGACGATCCATGGGGTGCAGTGGACGGCTCTCCCAAGAACCCACCTGAACGCAATCGCTTATGGAGACTAGCTCCCAGCTCTCCCAAGAAACCACATGAACACAGTCGGTTATGGAGACTAGCTCCCGGCTCTTCCAAGAACCCACCTGAACGCAATCGCTTATGGAGACTAGCTCCGTTGTTTCACCAATATCGGTAGGCTCTCCTCATCACAAGGTTCAAGTTTATTTTCCTGGCACAACTCCATAGCATTTCTGACATGTGCCGTAAATTTTTACCAGATGACTGTACCTTCTAGTTGCCACGCTACACTAGTTTCAAAATACCATGGGCGGCCAGAAGCAATTCTAAAAGTTGCACCCTTCGCCTCCTCACAACGCTTCACTTCTGCATCCCAGCGCTCACTAACGAGTCTTCGCAAGCTCGCTTGTAAGAGGCTAGGAGTGCCAGTGCCTGGTACTAATTCTATTAGTTGCAATTTTTTGGCGTTCTCGCAGGCCTTCACTTCTGCCTCCCAGCGCTCCAAAATGAGCTTGCAAGTATATTTGGGAAACCAGATGGGGCCTGGAGTCTGACGAAATGGAGGGCGCGGGAACATGGGGCCTGTGTCAGGCTCTTCGAGCTTTGGCCTGCAGGCCACTGGTAAGTACATTGCGATAATTGGGAGGGGCAATGGGATAACTGACCTTTTGATCTCGAGTTCCCGTCTTTACGAGCAGCGTCTTTGTGACCGGCAGATGGTGACATTGTGCTGGAGGATTCGTCAGAGTGTGGTGAGTGTTTGAAGCAAGCTTTGTACCGTTTTTTTAACATTGAGGGTATCCATGACAGTGAAAAAATATTGTGACGGTACGCTCAAATCTTTTTATCCTTTCTTTCATTAAACACACAGCTTTTAGCCAAACGAGCCCTGGAATCAACGAACAATCAAGGTTCAATTGTGAGTTGTTTGTATGTTTTATGGTCTTATATATTTTGCTAACGCTAATCACACCTTGTGCTCTAGTGACCATGGCACCTCATACTAAGGCTGCCTCCAAGCAGCAAAAATTTAAGCCCACCTCGTCAATGCCTGCAGCACCGCTGAATGCGCGCACTACCTCGTCAATGCCTGCAGCACCACCGAGTGTGCGCACCGCAAGCGGTCGAGAGCGTTGACCAACTGAAAAAGAATCCTACCGTTGTAAGTACTACTAAAATATTGTATTTTACTCGCTCATGATCCTCTATAGTTTCTGAATCTCAACATATTACCCGTCGTCAAGAAGTCAAGGAACAGAAGTCGGAAAAGCAGAAGAAAAAGGCACTGAAGGCCGCCTATCAAGACCGTCCCGACAACTTTGAGCAAGAGCCTTCGGAGCTGCATAGCGACATCGACAGGCAAGAAGATATGATGGTCTGAGCTTTTTTCTTCTTTCCTAACTTAAACGAGCCACTGACCATACTTTATTCAGTTCTCCGATCACAGCATCAAGACAAAGTTGTCAAACACTAGTGCCCTGAAGTTCAGCGCAGGCAAAATTCCCCCGAGATGGCGCCACAGCAACACCAGCGCACACATAGTGCCTACTAATACTGACCGGAACACGAAAGGAAAAAAGGGTATGTGTTTTCTATCAATATTAGCCTGACTATCCTAATATCCCTCTGTTTGACTTTATCCAGCACCACGAAGCAACTTGAATGCGGCCAATGCCCATCTCAATGATGCTCCAGACGACACTCCTACCTTGGACGCTGATGACGATGACAGGTCTGAGTCAACCGACCTGGATGACGACAACGATGACGACAACACTGGTGAACCATTGCCAATAGCTCGGGGGACCAAGCGACAATTCAACATGTCCTTAGAAGATGTCCTGATAGTCCCGAAGGTCAAGAAAAACTCGGACGGTTCGCGTCAACGTGTCAAAGCCAGCGACTTTGACAACATCTCCAAAGAGATTCTCACAACGGCCTGCTCAATTTTTCGATGTCTGATTGTCACACGAGCCCCGTTTCCTGATTCTGTCGCCGTCGAGACAAATTTGGCCAAAGAGGCCTGGCACGAGGCATGCAAAATTAAAGATATTGATGTCAAAATAACACCTTTAGCAGTCAAAATGGTAAGCAATCTGTTCATACCACGCTCTGGGTCTGATTGATATGAAGCTCTTAAATCGCACATCACATGTGCGAGGTGAACTCAAAACCAAGATGCGCCTGCTGACTAGTTCTTTTTATGGTTTCCGGGCAAGTAATTCCATGCAGGTGATGCAACAGAACCGAGATCGGGCAGAGTCGTTGAAAGCCGATTCAGCCTTTATATTCAAGGTACGCAGATGACAATCTATATTACTGTGTGCTGACATTGGATAATAGGACTGGTCGTCAAAGAAGGGAGTCTACAAAACCGAATTGCTCCAAGAGGGCATCAACCTCATGTGGTTCTCAAATCGGAACGACGAGGGCCTCATCTACCATAAGTACTTCAATCCCTTTCCTGTTAGAGCTCTCGCACTCGTGCTTACAGCGGTGAGCTTATTTTGATATTCAAGTTCTTATGAGGGCACTAACAATGTCTTATTCATAGATCGAATGTTGTATCGACGAGTGGCTGCCAGGCATCAAGAAGACATCAAGTTCACATCCGCTACATATGGAGCTGTCTACAATAATCATTTGGGCTCACTGCTGCGCTTTGATGAGCGCACTGCACCTTACAAACTTCTCGAGAGAATCTGTACCAATCTGCATGATGTAGGCCGGTATGTTTTGACTTACTATTACTCTAGTATTCTAACATTCATGCTTCGAAGTTTTCATGCAGGTGTTGAATCACTCGGTCTGTCATCGGCTAGTACTACATCCCGGGTCCACACTGAGAACAAGGCCTTTGAAGACGCCATTCGAGAGTACCAGCTGGAGGAGCAGGATGACGCAGAGGCTCCGAGTCGTAGCCAGAGTGGTGCACCCTTGGCAGCACTTTCAAGATGTTCCCACATACCGTCAGACCCTATTATTATGTAGCAAATATATAGTCTAAGAGACCCCCTCCTCCAGGAGCTTCGCCTAGTTTTCCAAGGATGTGTGGCCATCCCTCGAGAGCATGTAACCAGAGCCTCATCACAGAGGGTAAGCGCAACCTCCTGGTATGTTCCCTGGAGAGCCTCAACATAGCAGCCTCTCCAGATGCTCACTGCCTGCCTCCCCATGTCAGCATCTCCAGATGTCAGCAAGTGTGATAGCGGATGTGTTCTGGAGCCTCTCCGTATCTGTATGTTATCAATACTTCCATACTTCCATATTCCAGTTTGAATGTTTTATTCCATTTCTGCACCAATCCTCCGTGATCGTGATTGTCTTGAGGAGTCAAACGAGGCCTGATCACATACAAAACATTGCATTGGCTGATACTATGGTAGATACAAAGGACACGGTAGATACGTCAACGTTCGACAGCAAGCACGACAACCAAAAATGACGAAACAACTCAATATATACGCGGCCGAGGAAGTCACCTGAATGCAAAAAATGAGGCCTGCGAGCCTAAGGAGTTCGTCCTCAATCCTCCTGGTCCTTGGGGTACTCGTTAGGATACTCACGCCCATACCCATGCTGGTATCTGCCTTGTGGACCAAAATATGCACTGCTGGGAGGGTGCCAATAAGTCTCGACATAACCGTCGTATCCATCGTGAGAATTGTGGTAGGGAGCATCATGGTAATCACCGTGATACTGAGGCTGAGGACCATGGGGGGGCTGGGGGGCATGAGCCATACGGGAGTCATGGTAATATTCGGGCGGCGGGTAACGAGCAAAGCCTTGTCCATAGCGCGATGGCATTGGACCCCTTGGGCGTGGACCATACATCCCTGGTCTCATGTCTGCATCGTGCGCCCGCGTCATGGAGTGACTCTCGGCATTAAAGTCTCCGTCGGTAGGTGCAGCCGCCATCTCGGATTCGGTACGCCGCTCATGATGGGATCATGGCATCCCCATGACAGGCTCCCTGCGCCCAATGGGTTGGTCGTGAATTGTCGCAGGCTGCAGGGATGGAGGTTGCATGAGAGGCGACTTAGCTGCTGGCCCAAGAGATTCCCCGCGCTGCAGGGATGGAGGTCGCACAACAGGCGACTTAGAAGCTGGTGCGAGAGATCCTGCACGCACGATGTTGTCCGGGAATAAGTCTACCGAAGCATGACGAGTTGGCGAGGGAGGCAAGGGACGTGTGGGGAGGCTGTTGGTAGCATCAGCATTGCTCGAGCGAGTCTCTGCTGCAGCTTTGTTGACGGCACTACCGTCAGGAGCATCGACGTCATTATCCACGATGGGATCGACTGCAGTCACAGGATGCTCTAAGGATCGTGTCAGTCAATGGAAATTGTAACAATGTAGTCAACAAATTCATACCTTGAGCTGACGAACCATTAAGCAGACGTTTAGCAGGTTTGGCTACAATATACATCAGTCGCCTTATAGAAGCAAATGCAAGAGGAACAAACATACCTCATACATCTCGAATATGTTCATCACCGGAGGACTCAGCAGTCCCCGACGGTGCTCTCCTCTCAGGCACCTTGGGTTTAGGCCTCACAGGTACCTTACCTTTCATCTTCTTTGCTGAGACTGCCTTCTCTGCAGGCGCAACAGACGGTGACCTCTTTTTGGATGCTCGCGAGGCGCCTTCGGATTTCGCCTTCCGCTTCTTGGAGGAAACATCATCTTGGTAATCGGAGTCGAGAACCACTGATTCCTCCAGGTTTTCATCTAGGTCCTCTGAGCCAGACGGAGTATCACTAGATGCCAAGGAAATGACCTCCTTGTCGACCTTCTTCTGGCCCGTCGGGCACTTAACGACTTTGAATTCTCGGGAGGGGGAGGCTGGGGGCGGACAGGTGCAGACACGCTGGTTCGTCATCGGACTCGTCAGCAAGAGATGTTGTGGAAGCAGGCAGTGCCGATGCTTTCTTTGATGTTTTGCCTTTGACTATGGAAGTAGCTGTGCTCTGCTTCAGGCGCAGAGCACCCAGGCGATCCGATTTGCCATTCACAAAAAGGCGACGTCCTGCAGTATGAACCGAATCTGCTGCAGGAGGCGCGCCCTCCACTACTGGGCACTCAGAAGTGAGGACTTTAGCTGTATAAAAAGATCATTTGTAAGCAGGCGAAGACTGAAATTGAATAAAAACATACCTCGCTTAGCTTCGGCAATTTTTTTGATGCTCATGGTCCCCGCCTTCAAGGCTGCGATGACAATGCCGGTCTCCTTCAGAGTCAGGTTTGCGATACCTTTATTTACGGTGGTATGAAAACCACCTGGGAGGAGCATGTCCTCCGGATATCCTTTGATGATCATTGACATACGCGTGAGCTCCGATGGCAGTGTCTTCCACGGAAAAATCTTGTTGGACGTTAGTTTTCCGCCCAGTGCATCTGTCCCTCAGTGTCAGCGAACAAACGACAAATGAAATACACTCAAAATACCAATTTGACGATGCAACTCATCCTTGATCCACTTGATTCCATGCTTGGAAATGTCGAGAGATTCTGAAGGGGGGACTGAAGCCCCGCGTACGTTGGCATCGATCCCAATGCTGTCTTCATCAAAGGCCTCTTCGACGACACCGAGTGATGTCAGGTTACTAATGATTACATGAGAACTTCGTCACCAGGAACGTCGAGACAATACTTACTATACCTGGGCTTTCAAGTGACCGATGATAGTATCTTCATCAGCCCTACAGCGCGATTTCCAAACTAAAATTAAGATAGTGATTAGGTGACGTTTATGTGGCCTACAAATACTCACACCCTCAGCTCCAGGTGTCGTATGGGCTAGGCCCAGCGAGCCGTCTTGATTAACGACTTTTCCGCACGCTACAAAAGCAGCCTCAAAGCCATAGCGAGCTGCTGCAGAGTCCATCTGTCTACCCTCAGTAACACAATAGTAAAACATGACGGAATTATACTCACAAGGCCAGAGATCTTTGTGCCAAATTTGTGGAACTCTTGACCCCGCATAGCAACCGTCTGAGGAATACCCAGGAGCATCGCTGACTGTTCATGAAGCTCGAGGATGTTTTGCCACTTGTCCGGGAATGCTGCCTTGAAGAGTTCATAGCAATTACGGCGCACAGTGGCACCTTGAATCACCGCATTAGAATGACAGAACATCGGCCACAAGATGTAAAACTCACTTGGTGTGCCATGAATCTCGGGGGCCCTCCTGCCGAGCCTCGCAAGCTCGTCCTTGAGGTGGTCCTTGAAGTAACTACTGTAAGCGTTCCAATGGTTGACAGTACTGGTGGAGCGCGCATGGCTCTTGTTCCAAAGTATGACGATCTGATGAGTGGGGATGGCTGTTTTGCTACTTAGATCTTGAATCATACGTTCGAGTTCCACGAATCCCTCTCGGAGCACAGCATTCGCTGTCTGAAATCTTCGCCCCTTCACTGCAGGGACGACATCAGATGTATCGTCCATGGGAAGTCGAAAGCATCATCCATGGGAAAGCCGTCAGTGTAAGGATGACCCTCCCATTCTGCAGGCCCTGTCGGAGTAGGAGGTGTGATGTAAGTCTGAGGCACAGCAGGTAGCAACGTCGATGAGCCGGCAATGTGGTTGTCATCTCCGCCATTTTCGAAGGAACCCAACATCATACCACTGAAGTCATATTGTTCCAGTGGTAGAAACGAGGGTTTTGTAAAGAAGTTGGGCTGTGGAGGCTGGCCACCATCTGGGCGAGCATTCTCAGATGAATTGATAAGAGGAGCCTCGTAAAACACATCTTGTATAGGAAGCTGCAAAGGCACCGAACGCTCTCGAAGAGCAGGCTGAGGAGGCACCGAACGCTCTCGAAGTGCAGGTGTTACGACTGGATGAGTCGAGCTATCTCTGTCTGAGTAGACGGTCGGCAGAATGCCAGATAGACGTGAGTCTGCTCTCGATTGAGAGATCAAGGTTTCTGGCTAAGGCGAGTATCGCTGACTCCCTTAGAATAGTGGTTCTTTAGACAGTAAGGTTGGAGACCTTACTGAAGGACAATGTTCCAGGTAAAACCCAGTAGATTAAAGTAAGGAATACAACAGTGGGTAGGTAGGTTTATATACAAGTGTTCAAGCGGAGCTTGTAATGTGTTATCAAGATAGAAGCAAGAAGAGGCGGACAGCCCGCTTGGCAAGATAAGAGATAGACATGATAAGAGATAAGCGTGATACGGACGGCCCGTTTAGCAACAAAAGGGGAATGAGTATAGGGGTCTAAATGTTACTGTAACATTACCCCCTTACTAGGGTTGAAACCACCGGATTCAATCATCCTGGTTAGCATAGTAGATGGGATCGTCAGAATACTCTAAGTCGTCTTCTGGTCCAGCCCTTATGCGTTCCTCCGAGTAAAGCATTTCTTCTTCCTGGCACAATGCTGCGTATGCGTCATCGGCGTCGTTCTCCCAGGCTGCGAGTGCTTGGTAAAATCCTTCGTCTTTCCAAGTTAAAGAGGTAGGGGTTTTCTCCAGTATAGTGTGGGCAATAAAATGAAAGATGGCCTGGAGATAATTCTCGACAGACGCGACAATAGTATTCGGGGCAATTAACCTGCCTATGCCCGAGCGTCTGGCAGTATCTGCATACGCGGTTTTCATCAGGATTAGAGGAGGTCGCTCGTAAGGGTGATGGGCCTGGCTTAGGGCTAAGCGCTTCATCTGTGCTAGTGGCGCGTCTCTTTCCTTTATCTTTACCAGAGCGCCGAGCTCGTGTTCTTTTCCTGGTTAAATCGGTTCGTTGCATGGGGTGTCCTTATGGTTACACCTCGTTGCTCTGCCTCCGCGATTAGCCTCAGCAGGAGTGGCAGGTTGAGTTCTTCCCAACGCTTGCATGGGTACGATTCCATCCGTGAAGGTATGCGTCGATAACGAGTCCGGAATGATAAGCGGGGGATGAATGTGGAGTGAGGCCAACGCGTTGGCTAAGTCCTGTACTTCATGATAGGATAGGAGTTGTTCGTTTGGATTTGCAGCGATCTCTTCGCGGGTAGCAGAGAACGCAGTATAAAGATGGGGAGGGTGTTCGATAGTCTCCACCGTAGGAGCTGGTACGGGGACCGCCTGGCGGTTTTCTTCTCTGAGGGAAGCTAACATGGCCTCCGTTGTCTGTGCGAGATTATTGACCGCAGCCAGTAACTCATTAGGAATGTGAGAAGAGAGAGTAGGAGCAGCGTCTTGGTATGAGGGAGGAGGGGCTCCTCTAGTGGAGCCCATAGGGGAAGGTGGGCGCGCAACCCCTGCGGTTTGTTCTGAGACGATGTGGATGACTGTTCTAATATCATCTTTAACTTCTTCAGGAATAAGGCGCAGAGCAAAGTTGCGTATGCGCCTCTGCATATGCATGAGACTGTGGCGGACCGCGTTGTCTTCAACGAGACGACAGACTCGCTCGATGATCTCAGTGGCTCTGATGATGTTGATGAGGAGGTTGATAGAGTGGGCGTTTCTTCCGAAGAGGACTCTGGTGAGCTCGATGGCATGTTGGGGGCAGAGGAGTGCTGCCTCAATGAGGGTGAGGTCTTCAGCTTGGGTGATGTAAGTTTCGTATTGTTCGTCATTGGAATCAAGGCGGAGGTTTCGAAGGTGGAGTGGTATGGCAGAGTGTAGGTGGATGCGGGGAAGGGCATATTGGTTACTTAGGTTTCGTTTACAAGGAATGGTTCGTTTAGTTTAGCTTGTGCCTCTTCTTATATGTTGTCAAAGTTCTTTCGAACTCCGCAAGTTCTCCTCGGGTATCCATTCGTTGCTTCCGGAAGAGTAGCCTATCCACGATACGAGATAGCGTCTTCGTTTACCCGTGCCTTTATGGCTAAGAATAGCTTCTATTTCATATTCTTCTTCGCCGTTGATAATGTCAGGTGGAGGTTCGGTGTAGTTCGGTCCGTGTATCTCTGTTTCGCGATAGGACGATAGTTCAGAAGCATGGAACGTGGGGTGAACTTTCCACTGGTCTGGGAGTTTTAGAGTAAATGTGATGGGAGATAAGACTGCGGTGATAACGAATGGGCCGTATCGTTTGGGCGCAAGTTTCCTAGAAGGCAAAGATGTCAGGAGATTGGTGGCTGTAAGCCATACCTTATCTCCTATCTTCATGGTCGGTATTTCCCATGGCGGGATCTTTCCTGCCATTCGTTGCATGGCGATGTTATGACAAGCGAGTGCTTCTTCACGTATCTTCTGTAGGTTTCTGAGTCTTTCTTCTGCTGCTGGCGTGTCTGATACTGATAAAGATATGAGGGATCCCACGTGGTTCATAGCCCATCATGAGGAAGAACGGGGACGTGTTTCCTGGCATCGTGTTTTCCGATGATTGTGGACGAATTTCGGCGATAGGAAGATGATTTGACCATTCTAACGGGTTATTCCTGCAATAGATCCGTAGGTAGGTTTCAGTCTTGGTTAAGACGTTCTGTTTGTCCGTCTGTCTGGGGGTGGTAGGCGGTTGATGCGGCGATCTGATATCCGAGAAGTCGGGCCAGTTCTCGAGAGAATTTCGAAATGAACTGCGGTCCTCTATCTGAGATCACTTTTCGTGGAGGCCGAATCTTTTGAACACGTTTTTTGAGAATAGTTTGGCTACTCCTTCGGAGGTGATGTTTTTTATTGCAAGGTGAAATAATTACCCCCTTCGTAAGCCCATGGTCTACCACGATCATGATAGAGTCAAAACCGCCCGATACAGGTAGGTCGGTGATAAGGTCAACAGAGACTGAGAGAAGGGGCGAGTGGCAACGGAGGGGATCGGTCGTAACGGCGGAGTGACGGGTGCGTGTCAGCCTTCATTTGTTGACATAAGGCACATCCGTCGACGTATTTGCGGATGTAAGTTCCCATGGCTGGCCACCAAAATCTCGTTTGACGAGTTCTTCCGTTTTGAACCGTCCGGGATGTCCCGCAGTGGGATGATCATGGTGTTTAAATAACACGTCATGTCGTTGGGCTACTGGTACGTAAGCTCTATTTTTATAAAAAGAGAACGCCATTGGTGCATTTCCAGTCTGAGAGGGCGGATTTCATTGGGGGAAGGCATACTCCGTCCAATGCTTCCAGGGCTTTCTGGTAGACGGGATCGTTGGTCGAGTTGCGTGCAATGCTTTCCTGACAAATATCGTCAATTAGTCGCACGAACATGGTATCAGGAGGAGAATGCGATTTTCGTTATCGTCTTTTCCGAGTGAATGGTCGGGGCGTCGAGAAAGGGCATCAGGGGCAGCTAATTTGGTCCCTGCGACGTGATGCAATTCTAACTGATAATTGGAAAGGACGAGCTGCCAACGTGCCTGTCTTCGTGTCAGCTTTTGGGCGGAGCGGAAGTACTAAGGAGGTTCATATGATCCGTGAATACTATCACGGTGTGGGGGCTTCCCTTCTAAATAGTGGCGCCATTCGGAGAGTGCTCTAATGACTGCCAGTAGTTTCTCTGTCGAAGATTTCGTAGTTTCGTTCTGCGGGTTAAAAGATTGGGATAGGTAACCGCATGGATGGTACATTCCCTTTTCAGTCAGTCTGCAGCAACACTGCTCCGGTTGCTGCCAACGATGCATCGGTAGCAATTGCGAATTGGCGAGTTGGATCCGGGATTTCTCAGTACTGGCTTGTGATAAAAAGGCGTTTTTTAAGGTGATCAAAGGCGTTCTGACATTGTCAGTCCAAATGAAAGGGTGATCTTTCTTTGTGAGGCGATAAGGGGTCGAGCGATATCCGAGTAGTGAGCAATAAACGTCCGGTAGAAGTTGCAGAATCCTAGGAAAGACCGTGTGTCTTTCAGGTTCTCCGGGGTTGGCCAGTGTTTGATTCCGTCTACTTTGGCGGGTTCCATCCCTACTTCCCCTGGTCGAATCACCATTCCAAGATATTCTACTTCTCGCGCATCAAAGGTGCATTTTTCCGGTTTAACGAATAGTTTCTCTTCGAAGGATGTCGAGGATTTCGATGGTCCGTGCTTGGTGCTGCTGGAGATCCTTTGAGAAGATCAATAGGTCGTCCATGTATATGACTAGCCATCCTTGGTTTATCTGCTTCTGGCAGAGGTTGGTCATGAACGCTTGGAAAGTTGCGGGGGAATTCGTTAATCCAAAAAACATGACTGTTGGCTCGAACAGTCCTTCTTGAGTGGTAAACGCTGCTTTCCATCGATCTTCTGGGTGGATCCTTACGTTATTGTACCCTGATCTAATGTCGATCTTCGTGAAATACTTAGCGTCATAGAGTTGTTCAATGAGGGATTTTGGCAAGGGGAGGGGATATTGATTTCGTACGGTCCAATCGTTGAGATACCGATAATCCTGACAGGGACGTAGTTCTCCGCTCTTCTTTCCTACGAAAAAGAATCCGCTGGCTTGAGGTGACTTGGAGGGGACAATAAAACCTTTTCTAGTGTTTTCTTCGATAAATGTTTTGACAGCTTCTCGTTCTTTTCCTGATAATGGATAGACTTTTG